GGGGGGGGGGGGGACCTACAGCTCCCCTGAGGCTGCGGAGCCTGGGGAGTGCTTCTGGTTGTCACAGGGATGGGAGGGCATCTCTGGCATCCAATGGCCGGGATGGAGAGATGTTGGGTACCTGTAGTGCCTGCCATTTAAAACAAAAGAATAGTGCCACAGGAAGTACCACCCAGTGACATCTGATTGAAACAATGTACACATAGGACAATGTAAACGATACTAATAGAAAAGAATTGGGGAAACTGAGGAAAAGAGAAGTAGATAGTTTCCCCAGCACTATAAAGCCGCCGAGGGGTGAGGCCATCCGACTGTGAATTCTACATTTTTTAATCATTCTGCCCCATATTCTAGCATATTGTATATTACACTGTAATTTAAATATGTGAACTCTGATGATGGATTAGAAATAAATACCATAGGGCAGGGAGACAGGTGGGTAAGTCCAGGAGGCGGCCAAGATCCTGAAGCGATCTGAAGGAGTTAAACACTGCCCTACGGACAAAGACAAGCAAAGTCTGGGACCCCGCTGAGACCCACCAGTTTCCTATAAGGTGGTCCCACCACACTGGGGCAGGAAATCGGCCTGTGCATTTTAATGTTGTCAAGTCTTTGCTCACTGGCTTTTTTATATCTGAAAGTCTGCCTCTCGTTTAGCCCCAAACCTCCTCCTCAGAAATTCTCTCCCTCCTCAGCACCTACATCAACTTCACTTGCTTTGCCCATCTCCCTAGCTAGAATGTGGGTTCCAAGAGGACAAGGGCTGGATACTGTTTATTATAATCTCACTACTTGGGACATAGGGGCCCTAAATAAATACTTATAATGAATGAGTCTTAGGAGCAAGGGGGTGTATAAAAAGGACCCCACAAGGCCCATGGGTGAAGGACTTCAGTACTGTGTGCTGGATTGGGATGAACTGGTACTCAGGACGGAAAAAGAGCAGAGATGCCAATTTTTCTTGGCTGAAAGAACTGGCTGTCAGGGAGTGGCCCCACATGGTTGTCACATACCCAGTGACTTGGCAGTAGGACATGCACCTTGAGCTGAGATACACAGTACAGGGTGGACTTGGACCCGTGGGGAGATCAAGGCCCTGCTCACTTAACCATGTGCCTGGGCTGATGTCTCACCCTGGGAGTGTCAGGCTTAAAGCTCCCCGTGAATAGAAGGTGGAGAGAGAAATATG